TTAAGCAAGGGGCAAATAACGTTCCTTGAGCAGAAACAGATGTTAAACATCGTCCAATATGAATATTTTCATTTTGAAAGGAATTTACGAGCAAGGTTGCGTTCCTGAGTCTTTTAGTATTTTCTTCTGACAATTTTAGTTTCAGTAAAGATATGGAATTACTAGGAATTTTTTGTTTGGAAGCGAAATAAAGTTTAAAGGAAGGATTTTGGTCTTCTATAAAATGTTCATCTGGACCAACTTCCGATTGGAAAGGAATAGTTATCTTTGGTAAAATTAGACTATTACTTTTATAGCAAATACGAGCTTTATTTTCAGTTAACCAATCATTTCCTAGAATTCCTTGGAAATCTCCAAAGCATTTTTGTTGAATCATGAGAAAAACAAGCTTACTAATTTTACTTTTACCAGAAAATAAGGAAAGCTGTACTTCTCCTTCTACTGGAATAGCTCTTCCTTCAATTGTGGTTATTAGAACATTACTAGGTTCAATATTTTCACAATTAATGGATTCGGGGTCCAATATGGATACTTCAGATCCTGTGTCAATAAGGAATCTAATGGCGGGTTCATACTTTGATAAAGAGAGAAAAACAACCGGGAGACGCGGGGATTTAGCGTACCCGGTTAATAATCGTTTCCTGATTCGTTTGGCTCATAGTATTCATCAGAGTCATCGTTACTTTCATTAGAGTCATCATTATCATTGGAAGATTCATTGGAATTATAATCGTGATCTTCTTCTTCGTTATCATCATTATTTTCTGGCTCACCAGTTGTCATGGCCAATACGCGTCGAGGATTCTTTCCTCGTTGATTTGGTTTTGATGTTTTTATTCCAGGAGGTTTGGGAGGCATCCTTTGTAATCCGGATTTTCGAACTGGGTTCCTTGATGAATTGTTTGCTGAATTCTGTGATCCCTTTCGATTTGGCTGACTTTGGTATTGTTGAGAACGTTTCTTAGTGGCAGAGTCGAATGTCTTCTGAAGGAATTCTTTGGATTTTGAGGGATTGGAAGATCGTCGTGGATTTTGGTTGTTAGGGCAATTTGAGCTGTAATGTCCCATTTCTCCACATCTGTAACACTCTGGATTGAAAGTATCATTATTGGGATCCTTAAAATCCCTAGAGGAGGTACGGTTCTGGACACGATTGTTGGTCCTTGGTCTCTGCAGGTAATTGATGGCACAATGCTGGACTTTCTTAGTCGTTTCCAGCATCTCTTCTACAGCTTCTGCCTCTAAAACTGCATCCTCAAAGGTTTTTGGTTTCTTCAAAATCCTCGAGGAAATTTTAGTGCGTAATCCCCTTAGGAATTGCTGTAACATTAGTTCGGATTTTGGTTTCTTCAAAATCCTCAAGGAAATTTTAGTGCGTAATCCCCTTAGGAATTGCTGTAACATTAGTTCGGAAATTAGGGAGCCTTTTTCCAAGGCTGCTAATTCCTCTTCCCTGTAGATTGGATTAGGTACCAAAATCGTTTTGTTGGTATTCTTTTTAAGAACCTTTATCTCATCCGTTTTCTGGGAGAGATGAGAAACTCCAACAAGCTGTAGTCGTACAACATATTCTCGTACGGATTCATTATCCTCTTGAAAAATACTTTCTAACCGTTTTAATCCTTGAGGGATCCGGGTGTCACCAAAATCAAATTCAAGTACTTTTAATATTTGCTGATAGGTCCCATATACCAGACCTCTGCGGGCTGCCACTGAGTCCCAAGCTCTACCTTGTAACTTCCGTAAAATTAATCCTTTAATATCTTCGTCATTTAATCTACAGATCGTTATCGTAGTCATTAATTTTAAATGCCAATCATTAAATTTAATTTCACACAAGCCGTAATCGTACGACATATTCTCGTACGGATTCATTATCCTCTTGAAAAATACTTTCTAACCGTTTTAATCCTTGAGGGATCCGGGTGTCACCAAAATCGAATTCCAGTACTTTTAATATTTGTTGATAGGTCCCATATACCAGACCTCTGCGGGCTGCCACTGAATCCCAAGCTCTACCTTGTAACTTCTGTAAAATTAATCCTTTAATATCTTCGTCGTTTAATCTACAGATAGTTATCGTTGTCATTAATTTTAAATGCCAATCATTAAATTTTATTTCACCCTTCTTTCCTGTGAAGGTAGGTAAGTTAGAGATAAAACCATTAATTGCGTGCTTATTTGCACCTGTGGTATTGGATCCTCTAGCCTTTTGATAAAAGACTAATTCATCAGCACTAGGACTTTCCAAGGTCCCAAGCAAAGTATTAGATAATAACGATTGTCTTAAACCCATAGTTTCTTCTAGGGTTTCTTTTTGGATTTGCAGTTGTTGCTGCATCATTCGTGCAACCAGTGCAGCTTCGTTTTCCTGCATCATAATTCTGCTAGCATTAATGGTTTCTAGATGTGTGGCAATGGATTTTTCCATGCCAGCCCAATCATCTCTTACCGTTCGTAAAATATTTATATCAGCAGCTAAAGTAGCAGCTCTATTTCCCGTAGCTGTTGGTAAGGCAGCTTGAATTTTAGATATTTGATTATTAGTCTCGGCTAATTTTCGCTGAACATAAGTTAATTTATCAAGATTGTCTTAAACCCATAGTTTCTTCTAGGGTTTCTTTTTGGATTTGCAGCTGTTGCTGCATCATTCGTGCAACAAGTGCAGCTTCGTTTTCCTGCATCATAATTCTGCTAGCATTAATGGTTTCTAAATGCGTGGCAATGGATTTTTCCATGCCAGCCCAGTCATCTCTTACCGTTCTTAAAATATTTATATCAGCAGCTAAAGTAGCAGCTCTATTTCCCGTAGCAGTTGGTAAGGCAGCTTGAATTTTAGATATTTGATTATTAGTCTCGGCTAATTTTCGCTGAACATAAGTTAATTTATCAATAAAATATTTATATCAGCAGCTAAGGTAGCAGCTCTATTTCCCGTAGCAGTTGGTAAGGCAGCTTGAATTTTAGATATTTGATTATTAGTCTCGGCTAATTTTCGCTGAACATAAGTTAATTTATCAGGATAGCTCATCTTGAAAAATTCATTATCTATAGAATCACTTCCACCTTGCTGTAAAGCAGGAGAGAGCTGTAGATTACTTTGGTTACCCAAATTTCCCAAGGCGGCGGCTACGGCGGCGGCAGCTTCTGCAGCAGCTTCGGCTGAGGTTGCCATTATTTTCAGAGAAAAGAACGATTATTTTTTAGAATCTGTTTTGGAAAAATAAGTCAAGCACTCTTCTTGTTCAGGAGAGGCAGTGAAGTCTAATTCACCTGGAATTTGGCGAAGAAGAGGAATATGGGAAAATTCAGAATTTGTAACAGAATTTGCTGTTGTGGTGGTTACTGTTGTAGTTGTGGAGGCAGATGTGTTTGAAATAGGAGAATGTTCAGGTTCAGAAGGTTGGGAATCTGTATTATTTCCAGAAAAAAGAACGATTATTTCTTAGTATCTGTTTTGGAAAAATATGTCAGGCACTCTTCTTGTTCAGGAGAGGCAGTGAAGTCTAGTTCACCTGGAATTTGGCGAAGAAGAGGAATCTGGGAAATTTCAGAATTTGTATCAGAGTTTGCTGTTGTGGTGGTTACTGTTGTAGTCGTGGAGGCGGACGTGTTTGGAATGGGAGAATGTTCGGGTTCAGAAGGTTGGGAATCTGTATTACCGTAAACGCTTTCAAAAAGTCGGGAAATTAAGAAGAGGAATCTGGGAAATTTCAGAATTTGTATCTGAGTTTGCTGTTGTGGTGGTTACTGTTGTAGTCGTGGAGGCGGACGTGTTTGGAATGGGAGAATGTTCGGGTTCAGAAGGTTGGGAATCTGTGTTACCGTAAATGCTTTCAAAAAGTCGGGAAATTAAAAGAGCGTTATATTGTTGGGCACGAGAAGTTGGGGGAGGACCAGATTGAGAATTATTTTCTTGGGGTCCGGATTTATTAGACATAAAATACAACAATACAACAATTCTAATGAATTTCCACACTTTCTCACAATTCACTTTTTCACACTTTCACGCGCAAATTCAATTGTTTCTCGTTTTTAATCCCGAGCGGATCTCTTTCGTTTTTATCCCGAGCGGATCTTCTAGTTTAATAGAGGGTTACTATTAACACTAGGGACAAAGAACTAACTTAATAAGTTCTTTCTTGCTTCTGTCTAGAAGGCTAACTTTTGACAAGAAGCAATTTTCTTTTTTGAAAGTTTCCAACAACTTCTTCTACCCGCAGGTAGGATCCCTTTTTCAAAAACCTATCTTTTTCCAGGAACAAGATTAACCTTTGCCTTTTTACGAGGATTTCGTTTTCCCTTCGAAAAAACTCGCTTCTACCCACGTTAGGTAGGAAAAACTATCTTGGTTGATCAGGCCAAAATAAGTTTTTATTTTCACTCAAATGCAATCTCAATTGCTAAGCTAAAAACACTTCGGTTTTTTACACTTCTTCCGTTACGATCTCTTCGTGACGGGAATACACAGCTCTCGTCAGAGTCTGTGCTAGTAATTCAGAAAGAAAAATTGAAAACTGAATTACTGCTGTCTGGAGCAAAACACAAGCTCAGTCTCGGTCGCGACGCGTTGATCACCAATCAGAGAAAGCACTGAACACACCACCCCGGCGCAAAAAGGAGTACCGACTGCGCCAGAATTTGTTATCCTATTTAGCTTATTTTTAATTTAGAATAACTAAAAGATAAAACTATTGGGAACGTAAAAGAGTGTCTTTCCTCTTGGAGTTCTTTACTCCTTGATTCGCGGAGAGGCGAAGTGCTACAGCAGAGATTTACGGCTGGTGAGAAACATTGTAACGCATGAGAAGGGAGCACCACAAAAGGTGCTGGTGAGAAAATCTCACCTCAATCGGAAATAGAGGAATGTCTCGCGGAAGCGTGAATTCCTCAGAGTACGAAAAATAGTACTTCGTAACAATACATATCTGCTTGTGCATGGTTTACAATTTTCATTCCTCTTTTTGTGTTTGCTGTGTTCTTATACAGTAGACAAAAAAATGCCAGGGAAGGGGAGGGTATTATTCAATGGTGAATATAGGGTAATATTGGTGGGCACAATGTAATTCTTTTGTCATGTCTGGCATTTATTTGTTGTGTTTAAAATATTATTTATTTGATTACAATGGACATTTATTGACTGAAGTCCCTTCTGTTCTAGTGATCTAGTGTTTCTCCTATGTCTTGTTTCACATAATTGTACTGATCATTTTCAGTTTCTCAACTTCATTTACAATGTGAGGTGATCAGGTTACTCCACTTATTTTCTGTACGCTGATTGATGTTTCTGTTTTCTGCGGTGAGTTCTCTTTATGGAATTGATTTTGCATTGAGCATTTTTTAGCCATTTTCAATTGCTAGATTTCCATAGATTAGTCTCTTTCATTTTGTTGACAGTGAATTTAGTTCTCAAAATCAAATGAGTTAGGATTGTTGTACTGAAAACATTGTTTTGATCAAGTTATGCTATGGATTTGTCATTGCTTCAAAAACCAAACTTCAAGACATTGATTGGTTAATCTGAAATTATTCAGTGTTTTGCCTTCAAAACTAATTAGGAATGGATTTTAAATTGTGTGAGTACTCAGCTAATGTTTCTTGTGTGTTCACAAGTCAACTACGAGAGTTGCTGTAAGAAGTTCAAGTTCTTGAATTTTTGGTGTTTGAAATACCTCGAAGTTCCTTTTGAATTGAATTTTTCTTCTGTTTCTCATTTGCATTCCAATCATTATTAATGATGATTTTTCTTGAATGAAGTCCAATATATTGATGATATCATTGTCATACTGTGAAGAAAGGCACATTTCCCCCTGAATATGGAAAAAATCATGTAAGAGTTTTGATTATGATTGTGTATCATGTCTAATTTCCTTAGAAAGATTGCCAATATTCTCATTAGCATTGAAATCATTCACTCTTTGCTTTCATCTTTTGGGCTGCTTGATATTCTGAGATGTTGTTTTGTTGTAGTTTTCAGAAGTTGTTGTATTTACTAATGAAGCCAATATTCTTTTTGAGCTACTATATGCTATGAAAATTTGTTAAGTTTGTTTCTCTGTGTTAGAAAATTCTTCCCCAATGCATTAGTTATGTTCAGTGCATTGATAATGAGGTCTTTTGTTTTCAAGCCATATTCAGTCTATGATCCAACAATTTGTATGATACAAGGAACATGTTGCAGTCAACTTTTGATTAATTCAGTTTTTTGTTTTCTTCTTCCTATATGTTGTAAGTTTGTGTTCCTCTGAAATTTGACTTCCAAGTTTATGTTCAATAATTACAAAAATTTCAATATGTTTTTTGAGTCTGTATACTCCAATATTCCACCACTGTATTGCATTATTAATAATGGGAGAACTTCCAAAAGAGAGAGAAGTTCTTATCCTTATTGCTGGGTCAATCAAGGAAGACTCCTTAAAATTGTCATGAAGGAATGCAAGGATGTGTTTTGTAATTGCCTCCAAGAGCTGTCTGCTGTATGGGTAGTATAGAAATGTATTACAATGACCAAAATGTTTCCCAAACTTCTGTTTTCCTTTTTAAGTTTCAAGAAAAATATCATAGGCGGAAGCTATGCCTTAGCTGGTGTTCTTGGAGGTAGATTCCAAGAAGAGGGAATGAACTCATTTTCTCGGAGAGGTGTGAAATCCACTCAAGTTTTCATCAATTTCAAACGAAATGATCATTGAGAAACTTTGAAAACTACTCAAAATCTGCGAAACTTTATGCTAAATACCACATACAATTTTCAATATTCCTACATGACTGAGAAGTTTCAAGTTTGAAAGAGGTCTGGGGAAATCTCACAGTAACAAGAAAGTTTTCACTTATGTAGTGAATGCAAACATTTTGATAAAAATCTGGAAAAATTCGAATAATTTTACGATGGCATCGCCTACATCAAGTTTTTAATGTTTCTATTTACCCTACATATATACTGCAGGTTGTTCAGATGTGGAAAAACTCATCTTTCAAGTATGGAAAGAATGAAAGAGCAGATTCCCCATTCAGGATTTTTCCAGACGGGATTACTTCCCCTTATTATCTGGAACGAAAACTTCCCCTGATCAAACCCAACCTTGTGCTGTTACTAAAACTTCCTCACTTCAGAAAAAACTGGAATGTCCTCGTGAACACTGCAGACTACCCACCATTGAATTTGAAATCATCGACTATGCCTAAACGAGATGGATTGGAGTATTTATGTTTGTTTGTTCAGAAATCATTATTCAATTGATTCTCTCTGTTTACTGCCTGAATTAACATTGTGATCATTACGATTCCTTTCAAACATTGGCGCAGTGCCTAAAAGTGGATGCGATTCCACTTCCGATTGTGCAAATACGTTTCAGGACTCTTCAACAAAGATCACATGCAGTACGAAGCGGATCGAAATGGTACCCCAGCTAATGGTGAGCCTCACTTGTCTGAGATGACGTCAGCAGCTTTGGAACTTCTTGGGGGACATCGCAATGGTTTCGTACTGATGGTTGGTTAAGAATTAGTCTTCATTTCATCCACAATTTGGGAACCGAAAATGAAATTTCAGGTTGAAGGAGGAAGGGTTGACCACGCTTTACACACCAACAATGCAAAAAGGGCCATCATAGAGTTATTGGCTGTTGAGCAGGCCATCGAAGCTGCCTTGGCGCAAACCAATCGAAATGAAACTCTCATTATTGTGACTGCTGACCATTCTCATGTAATGACTTTCAATGGATATCCAGAAAGAGGAAATCCAATTTTGGGTGAGTGTCCATCAAATTCCTCTCCAAGTCTGAATGATAAGACATGCTCATTCATGAGAAGTGCTGGGTTGAGCATGCAGAAGTGATATTTAAAACATGGGTTGTGCATATTACAAGAACTAAAGTTTCCTTGATATCAATTTAAGGTATGTGTATATAATTGACAGGGGAAAGTAGTGAATCACACAGTATTCCAGTGGAGTAGTATTTTATCAACAGTCACAAATAACCACTCAAGACAAGGCGTGGAAGAATTTCTACTGAGGATTTCTACACACTGGTCAGCACACTGATGCCTATTTTGGGAAGATGCTACTGGAGTTTACAGTATATACTTCAGAAAATTGGTACACAATGATGGAGTACCTGGAAGGATACTTGAGAGGACAGAGTGCAAGGCTGCTTCCTTGAACAGAGGTTGATATAATAATATAGTATATTCTCTCAATATATTTTAACCTCAAGGATTGCACTGTCAGGAAGAGTAATTAATCTCTTCCCTTTTTCTCATCTTCTTTGTGTCACACCTCAGTCGGCCGTATATTATTTTTTTCAACTCAGTTGGGAGTCTTTCTTTTTGTACAACTCTTTGCTGCTCACACTTATCATGGACTCTTTGCTGCCCACACCTATCATCAAGTAATTTCCCAATGATAACGCATGTGAAACATAAGTTTCTTTTCTATCTGCAACCATTTTTTCACTTTTTTTCCAGTTGTAGTGAAGAACATTTTTCTTTGAAAATTTTTTGAAGATTTCCAAACACTTTTGCAGTGCAACCAAGAGCTGGAAAATGTGAAAACTTTACTTTATTTTCAGGCAGGATGTCAATCATAGTTTTTCAGCTTCTACAAAAGTAAACTTTCAGAAATGTCTGGAAAATCATAAAAAAGTATTTATGCTTTCCATTCCTAGTGGCATTCCAGCATCTGAAATAAGTCAGCATATATATCTGCCCTCACATTCAGTTTACAATAATGAAATGTAGGAACAAATTCAAGAAATATTGTTCCTATGTTCAGATGATGTTTTTATTAGTAAAAAAGCAGATGGTCCTGCCATGAGCAACATTTGGGGATCAGTTTGTCATCTAAAGATTTACTTGCTTGTTTTACCACATGTATACAATACCCCTTTTCAAGTGTACTATTGCCCAGTGACACACCTCCTGATTTATATTCTTGATGAAAAGCGGTTAATGGTGTATTGCAGTCACGCATTCTTGAGGTCTGGTTTACTTTTGGTTCTTGATGGTTCATGACCAGTCATTCACCTTATTGTTACCAGAGTCTAAGAAGTATATGTCTGATCACATCAATCCTATTAATTGTCTGTGACGCTTCTGATGCATATGGTTATATTAAACATACTTGATAACACAATTGAGCGAAGGCTTTCATTTTGCACCACCCTGCTACAGAGTTGATAAACTTCTCAACAACATTTACCTGAATGGAATAAATTTCAAAACATTTTGAGCATATTGCAAACAATACGTTCAACGCAATCACATTCATTTTGATCTATTTTCAGCAACTCAAGGTAACAAAATTGGTGCAGTTGGAATTCTCTTTTTACCCTGGGTGAGTAGCTTAGTTAACCTTGTGCACTTTCCAATCAATTGATTGGAAAAGGAAAAAGGGACGTTGAAAAGCACAAGCAACCAGTTAGTTACTACTCCAGACATCCACCAACACTCACAAAAAGTGTTATAGAATATGGCATGTGAATGTGAAATGAAAGTGTCAAATGCAACCACTTGATTCCTTCAAAATGGCTACTGGTATTAACATTTTGAAGTCAAACAGGTTGAGTGTCTTAGATGTGAATGATGTTGTCAAAAGGAATCAGTTAGACCTAGCCTCATGCAAAGAGGCTGAGGTGGCCAGAAAATGAAAAAGGGAATGCAAGGAAGAAGTGGCTCAACGTAAGGTTGAATTAGCAAAAAGAAACCTGCCGGTTCCTGAAGCAAAAGATGCAATGTGCAAAACACTGGATGCTCTTGAAGCTCTGGCTGCTCCTATGGCTACTGCCAGGAGTATTCTAGAGAGTCTTGAGCCAAACCTTTTGGAGATTGATTTTCATGAGAAGGCTATCAATGATACTCAGTTACTTCTGTTTTCCAAACAGCTGGAAGAGGAATTGTTTTTCAAAAAGAAAAATCCTGCTGAGGGATTAGTAGTTTGGCAGGCACTTCTGAATCAAGACCTCCTGGTTGATCAAATCACCAAGCCTACTGCAGAAAAAGTGGTATTTTGCAATGTAGAACATCTATAGAAAACACATGTTGTTAATACTGTACTACAAACCACTGAGGAAAACCTAGTCCAAATATTCTGGGTGCGTCTGAAAACGACACTGAACAAATGCATCCCTTTAAGGGTCCATTACCTTCACTTTTTGTACCTGTCAAAAAGGTACGCATTGTGGACAGGAACAGTTAGCATCCCATGTGGTCATGTCCCCGGAGGAGGGGAAGAGGACTGTTGAATGGATGTGTCCACATTCTAAGCAGTAGGATACATCAGATGAAGATGCAGATATTGCAGATCTCTTGAGCATCCAGAATGGACATGTCCAAAAGGTTGAAAATAGGATGCTCCCAGCCAGTGTCCAGAAAGAAATCAAGTGACGTTTACTGCCCCAGGTGATGGCAATGAACTGGCACCTACAAGGCAGAAGCTTGACATGAGTCCTTTCTGGACTCCTTCTTGACCTATCCCATTTTCTAACTCTTTGGACTATTCTGTTTTGTGCTGGCTGTTTTTTACATATATATATACTTTATATGATTTACAAATTGTACATTGCATCCAGCCAAGTGTCCAGAAAGTACGCAAGTGAGGTTTATTGGCAGGCACAAGAAATAAACTGGTGCCAGCAAGGTGGAAGCAGCACAAGGAAGTCAGCACATGCCCAAAAAGTTGCTATGTGGATCCATTGGGACTTTTCTTGCAAGTCAAGATATGCACAGAAAGTCTCTATGTGGATCCATGTTTTCTTTAGCCTCTGAAGTTCTCTTTCAGAAACTTACATTTACATTTACTTCAAATCTTCATGGAGGTTACATTCAACAGTTTTGTTTTTCTTTTAGCTCTCAAAGTCCTCTTTCTTAAACTTTTTCCTAATTTAATTTATAATCATTTCTGAATTATTTTCAGAATTTAAAGTACAATCCCAGCAAAAATTTTGGATTGCCGCCTGAGATAGCTGCTATTTTTATGCGTGAGGTGGCTGTTTCAGTTGACGGTCAAACAGTTTTGGATGGGAGCAGGGATCTGTTTTCCTGACGGGGTCAGGATGGGGTAAAAAACATTTATATTTTATGCTTTTGAAAGCGTCAGAGTCTGACGCTTTTAAAAGCAATTTTTACCACAGCAGAAATGTTTTTCTGTGACCCTTTTCAAAGCATCAGAGTCTGACTCTTTTAAAAGCAATTTTTACCCTGTAAAAAATGTTTTTCTGTGATGCTTTTAAAAGCAGTTTACTCTGATTTTTTTTTAAATGTTTCTACTGCGTTAAAAACGTTTTAGTGTGATGCTTTTAAAAGCGCTGATTTCATTAGTAAGCAGGCAATTTACTCTTCTTTTTTTGTTGGAATTTATTCATCCCATATTCAGATTGGCAGGCTGATGAGAGCATATATATGAAACTCTAAAAATTAATGTTTCTTATGCAAAAATAAAGGGGGTGAAAGTAATGGATACAGTATACTCCAATTGAATATATGAAGAATCTGTTTTTTATAACAACATTGTTCAAGGCTGCTTCAACAGTGTTGTAACATTGTTGTCATGGGAGGTTAATTCTCAAACTATTGCAAGTGTGCACACTGCTGTGTGTAAAGTCAAGTTGTATTTGCAATATGGTGCATGAATGCATCAATTGTGTATAGTCTCATGCTTTTTAAAATACTTTACAAGTTTTCTAGTGAAGTGCTACTTGGTCATATCACAAAAGTGTTGTAACATGATAACAGCGTGGTAACAGTGTGTAACATTATGATAAGTGCGGTAACAGTGTGTAACATTATGATAACAGTGTGGTAACAGTGGTGGAGTGTAATCCTTGTGAAATGAAACATTAATTTACAAATGCTTGCGAAGAGTTTTCAACAGTTCCTGTGTGGCATTTTAACAGCATTGCAACATCTTGAACAGAACACAGTGGTAACTGTGTTAATATTTGCAATTAAAAGTGTAAGAATAAAGAAATGTTTTAGAGTTAGGACACAGACACAGTGTATAACTTACAATTGTGATCTATTGCAGTGTATCCCAAAGCAAATGTCATACTCCTCTATTGCTTATTGCTACATATTTTAAATGTTTATTTCATTCAGAAACTCTAATCATGCTAGAGTTTCTGGCCAGAATTTCTGCTGCTATCTTAACTTGCTTGATAAAAATACTCTTGTTGGTCGCGTCAGAAAATGAAATACTTGATTACAAAATATGGATATAATATATTTATTTGATATACAATATCACACTCATATTTTAAGTACACACACAATCACACAAGCAGAGTCAAGCCATTGTTATAATTAAAGAAGTCTTGCTAAATTATTGCAAATCTTCTTGAGAAAAATTGTGAGAGACAGGTTTGATTCTCTAGTAGGATTCTTCTGATGAATTCAAGGAAGAACACAAATATATATAGCTTCTAGACTATTGGGCTCATGACATATTTCCAGGATTTGATGTTGCATATCCAGGTTTTGGAACCAATATGCATATCCCGGGAACTAGCACAGAAATATCAGAATAGAAGAAGCTGAATTTTGAAGGAACAGCAATTACCATTTATAACTGTCAACAGGGAGAGGAACATTAAATGTGAGCCTGCAGGCTAAATGGGTCATGCACATCTGAGTCAGGCAAGCACAAAAATTTTCAAACCGAAACAAGGAGAAAAATATATGCATGCGAAAGTTTTCTTCCCGTGTCCATCTGAGTTTGGAAAATAAATAATAATAAGAAAAGAAACTCAAAACATAGTGTCGAGTATTTTGCAGGATATCAACTCACCCTCGGCAATAAAGAAAAAGGTTGCCATGCCTTTTTCTCAAAGTGCAATAAATAAAAGTGTTCCAGGAAAAAGTTTGACAGCTGAGTCGTTTAACAGAAACAAAGTGCCGTGCGGGTTTCCTGCCGCGCAAGTGCACAAGTGTCAATGATTTATTGCCGAGCTTCTGAGGAAGCGGCGTCAAGGCCATGGGGCGCAGGAGAACCCTTGGAAGCCAGTGAATTTTGACAACTTGGCTGGCAGTGCCAATTGGAGGTCGACCAGATTGACATGTCCAGGTTTGGTGTCAGTGTTAGTAATTCTCATCGGCAAGATATTTGCTGAGTTTCTGTCTTTAACAAATTTTCTAGTTTGCTTGTTTTGATCTGGGGAGATTTTACCTTGCGGAGATTTTGGTTTGATGTTTCTCTGTTTGCGTAAAAATAAAAGTAGTTGTTCCGATATAAACATGAGCCATTTGCAAGAAAGAAAAAATGGCTTTGCTGACAAAGGTATGTAATGCGGAATCAGTCTTGAAGCGGTTGATTGATTGCATGTTTTTGTACAGGTGATCTTGCTGTTGCTGTTGATCATTGCTTTGGTGGACTTGGTGGTGTCTTGTTGCGTACCAGACTCCATGGAGCTGGTGTGTGATGAGGGTGTGCGCCGATGATGTTGCTTTGGCTCTGGACTTTGACAAGAAGGTAACCATTGTCGGTAATGAAATGTTTTTGGATTGCGTCAGGCTCAGGCGTTTGAAGGTGAGAAGAAAACGTGGTCCAATGCAGTTTAGTGAATTCATTGTTTCTCTTTTCTTTTTATAGCAGGTCAGGTTGCATCATGCTGTCCATTGTTTTGGATGCCTGGATGGCTTGGAGGATGTTGTGTAGCCCTGGTCATGGTGTTTGGCGGTCAGCAGCAGAACCAGGGTGCCTCCAACGACGTCGTTGTTAAACGTGGTGTTGCGCATGATGCAGGTGACCACCGTGACAATGGAAGCAGTCATCCGACATTGAGTGGCAGGATCGGACTTGGGTTTGCTGTCGGAGATGACTTCCTTCATTCCAGAGATGACAAAGGTGAAGGACAGGAAGGCAGTGTTGGAGACACATTTGAACAATGAATCCGTGCTGTCACTCCTGATCATCATATGCGGAGGATCAGGTGTCCTTTTGATTGTTGTTTTCTTTGTTTGGATTGCTCGTCACATTTATTTAAAGGTTTTTTTTTCGCAATATTTTTCTTTGGGATAGGAATAGTAGGACAGTAAAAGAAAAACTTTGAAATTTTGTAGAGGCACAAATTGGAGGGGAAACTGCAGGAAGAGTGCGCTCATGTGAATGAGATTGATATGATGGAAGAAATTGATCAGTTTGTACAGAGCTTTTTGGATATGTTGGTATCCAGTTTCGGAAATGGTGAACATTAGAAAAATGATTTAATTGCTGATTTTCAAAATTTTTCTGTTTTTCTTTCTGCAGTGAAATTCCATTTGACGGGTGCGGAAATGAATGGACCTTCGTATGCCTCGTACACAAGCCATGGATATTATGGAGATACCTCCAGCGGATCTTATGGACTTGAGCATCCTGTTGGGGGAGACAGCGGGCAGTATTGATTTGCGGGCCTAAATCTCGGGTATTGCTGTGACTAATTTTGTTTGTAAATATTTGCAAAAATTGGTTGTGGCTTGTCATAGGCAGCCAAAAATTTTGTTTACCGTTTGGGCAATTTGGGCAATCATTTGAGTTACTTTTTTTGCCGAGAATCATTGGGCGAATCTTTTTTGGTGTGGTTTTTTCAGTTTTGTACCCTTTGCAAATTGCGGGTATTTGTATAGTTGCTGTTGAAATGATTTGTTATCGGTTGGAAATAAAATTGGTTGAAATCAAAATCCTTGGTTTTTTGTTTTCTTCAAAAAGGTAGAAAAGAGGGGATCACAACATAGGTAAAAAGAAAACGCAAACAGGGATATATCCACAGGGGTCATTTTCAAAAATTGGATCAATTATAACATATGCAGGGCATGTATCAACAAAAAGAATTTTATAAAACAAGGGAAATTGTTTTTAGACAATAAATAAAACACCTGTTGTTGGATTAATGGCCATTTTGACCTTGGGATATAGATTGGTTCTTTGGGGGAGTAATTCAATAGTGGCTGTATTGGACACAGTTGTATTTCAATTTTTTAGGATATATCTGATTTTGGCATAGCAGAGAAAAATAAGACAGGCTAATCTGGTAAGAGTGAGTACAGGTGTCATGATCATATTGATATATCCGTGCTGTTGGAAATGCAGCTGTACAGTGGTTAGATCATCTATGATTTGTTTTTTGTCTTTCTGAGAACATGGGATCTCTTCAATGGCATTTATTTCAATGTTGTTTAATTGAGGGACCATTTGTTTAAAAGGTCCATTGACAATTGTATACTGGCATTTGGGTTTGAAATACAATATGCCAGAGTATGATAATTTGTAGGAGTGTTCAGAGGCTAGATTTTTGTTAATTTCTGATGCCATACAGGATTGGGTGATCTGGCCCTTGTTCATGTCCGTAAATGCAAATTCATCTATGTCTGATTGAACCACAGTATTAATTGGATTTTCTGCTTTGGATAAAATGCAGTTTTCTTGGATTTCCACATCTTGGGATCCATTTTGCATGGTTTGCACACAGGGGTCAGTAGGTTGAGAAAGGGGATAATTAAATCAACAAATTTGGCATCTAGAAAAAGTTAATGATAAAAGACAATGGTAATTCATGGGAATGTAATCCAAAGTGTTGTGTTCCTTTGGAAATTAAGAAAGGGTAACTTATTTGAGCTTTTTTCCATATGGGGGAACCAAGATAATTTTCTTGAGCCACAGGGAAAGAATGAACTCATGATAATAAATAAAGATCAGAGTTCTTGATGATTGGAATAAGCAAGGAAATTTGGAGAGAGCAGGTGCTGTTAGCTCCAAGGTCTGATGGACACTGAGAGCTACGTCCAATGGTAAACGGATTGGTTAGTATAATGGAGAGGATCTCATTTTGATTCATTAAAGGTATGAGAGATTGTTTTTCCGTTGTAAGGGTGGTAGATATACTGCTGGAAATTTCCAAATCCAAAAGGATGTTTGAAGGGTATTGGAAATTTAGGATCAAATTCAGTTCATCTAATAATTGTTGAAATGTCTGGATTGTTCTTGATAATTCGGTACTCAGGCTGAGTAGTTTTTTATTATTTTTGGGATTGTTGATGAAGGGAATTTGGAGTTGACTGACCAATCCCTTT